AAAAAAAAAAAAACATTTCAGTTTCAGAGAATCTGACGTGCCAGGTGGAAACAAAAACGAAATTGTTGTGTTCACGTGATTTCGTCAAAAGGCCGTTTATGACATTTGAGCATGTTCACAGACAGTCACGCGATAATTGCTCAACAAGAAACTGAAATAATAGTGAGTAAACTCCCCTGCAACTAGAGGAAATAATCTTCTAGCGTTCTCTATGTGACGTGCTTTAAAGACAAACAGAGCAACTTTAGAAGATCTTATCTGATATCGCGCGATCTTTTGTAATTATTCATTCGCATTATCAAGACACGAGGGAATGTGAATTTACTATTTTTGTTCGGCATTGTATAATGAATGTTCTTTGCATGATTTAATCGATGACATTCTTCGTCATTTCTGTTGTAACAGACCGTGTCATTACAGAAGTAAGCAGCTTGGAGTTTACCATTAGTCTTCGTTTTTGGTTTTATGAATGTCACAACCATACATTATTCTCAACTGAGAGGGTAAACAATACAAGATTAGTTACTTATATATTTAGATTAGTCACTTAATACAGCAGAGTTCGCTTTGAAAAGTAAAAACTACAAATTGAACATTCGGGTGTTTCCCGAAATTCCAAGAAAACAGATAATCATAATGTACGCTTCAAGATATTTGTTTATTAGGACTGTGGTTTTCACAGAGGAGGCGCGATTATCTGTTTTCCACTCCTTATCCTGTCATTACTGTTGAAAGCGTCTCCAATCCCGCTTCCGAGGATGCGTAAGGTATTTTTATCCCGTATCCCGCTGTATTTTATACTGCCGCGAATACCACCAAAAGCATGCGTGATAGCTTAAGGATTTCATTTGTCGATATCCTTAGTGCCTCCCAGCCCCTTTAGGGTAAGGTGATATGCGCAGGCGTAAATTTTTCGATGGGCCTTGGACACCCAAGTTATGAATTAAAGAAAGTTGAACGAAGTTTTAATAGTGCTAAATCAAGCTATATCCAAACGACTTAATTCGAGTTTAATCGGATTGTAATTATGCTTTAGAAGACATCCTAAATCTATTATTTCTTTCCTTTCTCACTATAGGGTTAGTATGTAAACAAACATTTATTTGAAGGGGGAAGGCGCTTCTGTCAATGTATGTTGTAAAGTTCTACTTGGAGTGGGAGGTAACAGTTTCTTTGCCAACTATCTATAAAGGTGTGTTCTTAATTTATTATTATTGTAAGTCATTTCTTAAGTCTGAGTTTAAGGAATTCGAATACCGGTCGGAAGAAACAGGAAGCATTCGCTAAAGTAGGTCAGTAATAGACTACTAGCGGACTATTAGGGGGCTTGATTCTGGAACCTACCGGTCTTAAACTCTAGCAAAATATACACAAAATGTTAAAAAAAAAAAAACACGTTTCAGCCCCTTAGATTAATCGTCTTTTCAAAACTTTGAAAAAATTTCAAGTTGAGTGGCTCTTAGCCATTTTGATTTTAACAAAAAACGCTATTTCCCCACGATTTCTACCGTTGTGCGACCGTTATTTCAAAGATGGCTTGTCTCCGCCATTCTATGTTTTTATTCATTTCGTGAGACGAAGAGAGCTGACCCCGTATCATTAAGAACCCAGTTTTTCAAGTTTGACTGTAAGCGCGGTTGCTGAGCAGGGGTGGGGGACGTATGTTTCAACGGACATGACGTCTCAAGCGGTCAAAAAGCGGCTCTAGCTAGCGGGAAAAGAAAATGTGAATGTGCCATTTGTGTTCTCTGACTCGGTAAGTGAAATGGCAATGTTTTTCAATCGGCCGGACACTTTAACGTTTTATAGTGTAACACAAATAGAAGGTGTAGGGAATGTCCCGGGCTAAGTTCCTTATATGGGCTAAATAGGTATGTGCATCCCCTAAAGGACATGGTTTTTGAGCGGTTTTAATCTCAAAAAGGAGATGGAGTTTGACCATCTTAGCCTGAAATAAGATACTTTTGTCACTCTGGCCTGGCCTGAGTCATAGGTGCCTGGAATTGGGTATTTTGTTTCCAAGGAACTATTTTTTCAGCCTTAACATTGGCAAATTTGTAGCTCTTGTCAAATGCTTACGCCAATGAAAGCCATTTCTGGTTAGCTGAAGTCTTGAGATTTGCGTACTAATTTTAGCAGTTTTCTGAAATGGGTCTTGATTTTTGCCCAGGTCTGAAATAGGGTATGGAAAATCACAGATTTTGGTCTGAAATACGGTAAGGGTCTCAAGGTTCTGGCCGCCCATCCCCGTCCAAAAAAACATCGGAGAGTACCCCCGGGTGACTGACGTAGTCCCCGGGTAATTATAAATGTTTGAGAAACAATTCAGGTTTAGAAATGAGGCATCTTATTATTGAGCTTTGTAAATAGCATAAGCTTAGTATTTTGTGAGCCTGATTTGTCTTGTTCATGCATTGTTTGTCTGAAGATGCAGTGGTGTTGCCTAGAACTATTGCGGTTTCAACCAGGTTAAATGCTAGGACCCCTTCTCGCTCTTGATTTTCTTCAAACAGGGTTTATTACGCTATAAGTATTTCTAAAAAGCAGGCCATGTTGCGACAATTTGCATAGCCAGACTGACCAGACATCTTTTCAGGCGCCAAGAGATTTGAGATACGAGTTGAGGACAGCAGGGTGTGAAAACATTGATAGTGCAAGATATTTTAATTTCCTTATTTTTGTTATGCCAACGTTCTTCCTCTCTTTTCCTGCCATATTTTGGCTACCATTTCCATTAAACCAGTTTTGTCCAATTTTATTTTAATTATTTATCAGTCATGTTACGTACTTACATACATATATGCCTTACATATATGCCTCAAGCACTGCAAACAATATTAATTTTCATCAACAGATTTGAAACAATTTCCCTGATTTCATGTTTGCTGCACATTCCCTGTGTTTTGCATTATCAATATAGAATTGATCGTGCTCAAACATTAAAAGATTTCTCTCTGGTCTCCTGGCATCAACTTCCTATGCTCATTTACATGTAGTTGGACTGTACATGGACATTATTGTAGTCAGAAAACATCGATGAAGGCAAAAAGTTGAATTGTGCTATCACAAACAGGTTTGATTCTCCTGGAAACATTATAAAGGAACTTAAATCAACAACTTCTCTGTACAGTTCAAGAGAACATGTTAGTATTCTGATGAACACGCAAGATGTATGGTTTGTATTAAAAAATTGGCAATTATAGCTCTTCACAGTCATAACATATATCATTGTCAAGACTGTTACTAGCAGCTTCTCAGTCTTACATAACACCTCCACTGTTCCTGTGTTTAAGTCATTTCTTTAGCTTACTGTCTCCACTTAAGTTTGTTCGGAGCAGTTCACCTATTTGGCAACTAGAGATGAAGTTTGCAAAGAAAGTTTTTTTTTTAAGTCATCACAAATATAGGAGCTCACTTCTTTTTCTTCCTTGCCTCATTANAATAATAATAACAATAACAATAACAATAACAATAACAATAACAATAATAATAATAATAATAATAATAATAATAATAATAAAAAGATTAGCTTGACATCGAGAAAAGTATTCATAATTAAGGTTATTCCACCGAAATAGAACTCACAACAGATTTTCTTTCAAACTTTACCTGTTGGCTGCTTATATCAAGAGAACTTAAAATTTGAAATAAAAAAGGGGGGTCCCCGTATTCGTTTAGGAGCAGGAGGACTTTCAATAAACCTCATAATTCCTGAAATTATCTGCTTTCGGAAACGTTTATATTTGAATCATTCACCTTGCGCTTTAATAGAGCAGAAAAATAGGGAGAAAGTTAAGCGAGAAATACAACAATGGATGTGTTGCATCAATGACAAGGAGCAATTTGATGTACGTTTCATGATAAAGGCACTCATTTAGTTGACAGGGATTCAATATATTCCAAGCACGCAGTGTTTTGGGGCCACATATGATCTTTTACGAGTGCTAACTATGCTCTCATTTTCCGTGATATTTTTTTACTCTGCAATAGAAATTGGTCCATATTCACTGTATAGAAAGAAGGTAATCTCTGCATTCAAACTAAATAAAAAATCGTTAGGTCTCGGTACTCGTTTCTGGGGAAAAAATGATGATTTGTCTCTCGCCAGCCAAGCCGTTTAGAAAAAGCCACTATTTTGTATATGTTGTGTGTGTGCACGCGCTTGTGAGCACGCGCTAATGCAATCTCGTTACCAGCGTTTTCGTTCCCCTTGACCAGCGGTCGGAAAACGAGAGCTCTGGGAGCAACCATTTTGAAATAACTGAATTCTGGTGATTCTGCCCATCCGGTTTCACTACGCAGTCTGCATCTACGGCGCACGCCTGAAATGGTTGCTCCCAGAGCTCTCGTTTTCTGACCGCTGGTCAAGGGGAACGAAGACTCTGGGAACGAGATTGGCGCTAATGACGTGAAAATCGATATCGTGCGCTGTAGGGATGTGCAATGCAATTCTGAGGAATCAGACTCTCTTACCTTAAGAAATCAGCGACAACGAATTTGGAATGCTGATCACATGGAAGCCGCCATTACAGTCTCTCAAGTTTGACTGTAAGCGCGGACGCTGGGCAGAGGGGTNGGGGGGGGGGGGGAACGTGTGTTTGACTGGACATGACGTCACAAGCGGTCAAAGAGCAGCTCTTTTCTCTGGCTAGCGGGAAGTGCCATTTGTGTTCTCTCGATAAGTGAAATGGCAATGTTTTTCAATCGGCCGGGCACTTAAACGTTTTACTTAAATGTGCCTGGAATTGGAGTAATACATAGGCCTTTACAGATTGTTCTAGTAAAAGTAGCATATTATGCTGGTAGCACTGTTCTTTTTCTGGCCAAATTATGCTCGTTTTTCCAAATTATGCCCCTTTTTTACAATTATGCCCTTTGAAAAAATTGCAGATAAGTCCGAAAAATAAATTTTTATTAGAAGCCGTTGGTCTATTAGAAAGAAACAACGAATACCACAATGAAATGCCATTTTGTAGCCTTGCCTAACGAAAGGTACTGGGAATGGCATGGTCCCTTGCATCCCAGGCCCCAGTCCCCGGGATCAGTGAACTGCAAATGCATCTAACTGTACTAAAGCATTAAAAATCGAATAACGTCAGCAAGTGCCTAGGACTTGAAATCAAAAATGATCAACTTATAGGATCAAAAATGATCCACTAATTATCAAAATATACGAATTATGCTAGCAGTGCTAATTTTTTAAAAGTGGGAAAAATTATGCCAGCTTGCTCAAATTATGCAAAAAATTATGCTAGCACAATCTATAAAAGCCTAGTAACACAACTGGAAGGTGTAGGGAATGTCTCGGAGGTACTCCCTTATATGGGCTAAATAGGTATGTGCAGCCCTAAAGGGTATGGTTTTTGGGCAGTTTTGGTCTCAAAAAGGGGATAGCTTTTGATCACTTTGGTCTGAAATAAGATACTTTTGTCACTCTGGCCTGGCCCAAGTCATAGGTGTCTATCATTGGGTATTTTGTTTACAATTCCACATTTACATTGGCAAATTTTTGGCCCTTGTCAAATGTTTATGCAAATGAAAGCCATTTCTGGTTAGCAGCAGTCATTAGATTTGTGTAATGATTCTAGACATTTTCTGAAATGGGTATTGATTTTTTGCCTGGGTCTCAAATAGGGTATGGAAAATCCCAGGCTTTGGTCTGAAATGGGGTAAGGGTCCTAAGATTCTGGCTACCCACCCCCCCTCCAATAAAAACCATTGAGAGTACTTCCATTGATTCCCTATGCTCATTGAAATGTGGTTGAACTATACATAAACTTTATTGTAGTCAGAAAACATTGATGAAGGTAGAAAATCCAATTGAGCTATCAGACAGCTTTGTTTCTCCTGGAAACATTACAAAGGAACTTTCATCAACAAGTTCAAGAGAACATGTTAGTATTCTGATGAACACACAAGATGTATGGTTTGTATAAAACAAATTGCCAATTAAAGCTCTTCATAGTCATAACATATATCATTGTCAAGACTGTTACTAGCAGCTTCTCAGTCTTACATAACACCTCCACTGTTCCTGTGTTTAAGTCATTTCTTTAGCTTACTGTCTCCACTTAAGTTTGTTCGGAGCAGTTCACCTATTTGGCAACTAGAGATGAAGTTTGCAAAGAAAGTTTTTTTTTTAAGTCATCACAAATATAGGAGCTCACTTCTTTTTCTTCCTTGCCTCATTAGCCTGTCTTATTTTCGTCTTTCGTAATCTTTTCCAGTAAGCTTTGTTGTCAGGATCAGCAAACTCTTCGTCTAGTGGTTGTTTTGGTTGAAGAGCGTTCCATAACCATTCAGGGTATTCACTGTCTGGAAGCAGAGGCGGATCAGATCCTTCTTTGAAATAATTTATACCTCGGCAAAGATTCTGTTCACTGCCTCCTGAAACAAGCAAAACAACTTGCTATTATGCATGCCCAATCAAAATATAATGCCATGTGTCTGCATAGTGGCCTGACTTGTTAATGTGTCCTTGTGAAGGATTTGACTAAATTTCTATAGTATAAATGAAGAGATCAGGAGTTATCTTTTCCAGGATGACAGGGTATTGCAGGTTATACCCCAATCTCCCCTCCCCCAAGTTTTTTAAATTTTTTTTTCAAGTTGCCTGAACTATAAATTTGCTGGTAGCCAGTTTGAGGGTTTTGATTTCCTGTCTGGCTTATGTTTGTCACTTTACCTGCATAGTTGAATAACATGCTTATTTCACCCTCACGGTACCTATTACTGTGTGAGTCACAAAAAAAAACATGAACACTTTGATTTGATTTTGACAGGCTAATTGTGCACTGACCAATCACAATAAAGTTCAGGATACATGAGCAAACCTCAAAACCACAAACTAATTACCATTTCTGTTTACGCTTATGATTGGCATTTTCCTTGTTATACCACAACATTCCTTAAATATATCTGGTGTTCAGTTTCCTGTGTTTCACAGTAATTTTCCCTGGAAAAAAGATTTAATGTGGTAGAGTGCAAACATGGTATAGATCGTTTTCATGTGACGTCATCATTTCTAAAATCGAAAACTAAAGAGCTACCAAAGTTCTTATCCCCATCAGGCATAAGAGGGGGTAAATTTATATCTGTTTACAATGTTACAGCTCAATAGTGTGCTTCGTCTGAAAACCAGTGTATTTTGAATTTAAGAGTTATGGTGGTGCGTGACACAAAGCTACAATCACATCTGTCGAAAAATATATACCTATCTCATGACTTTTAGCTTTTTTAGAAGTTAGATCATTAGGAAAAGTGCTTATGTAAATGTTTGTTTGTTCAGTACAGATAATCAGTCGCCTAGATAGCCAAAATAAGTTCCACATGTTTACAGTATCTTCCAGCCACCATATTGGTGCACCACAGACGTGCACCAACATGGCGTTTCCATACTGGGCTCTGTAAATTTCTGCTAAATGTTTCGACAAATATCTGCAGTCTGGGAAAACACACAAACCTAAAACTTGGAGAAGTGTCTTCTCTATCTATTTCTTATAAAATCACAATTCCTTGACTTTATCCACTGTATGGTTTTCGATTTATTTTTTTATTACATGACATGAAAATGATCTATACAAGCACAACGACAAAATGGCTAGAAAATAATATCATTATTGCCCCCTCTTCTTTTCTGTGCTCACCCTTCATGGGTTACACTGTATGCTCAGCAATGCTATTAAACCTGCCATTCACCTGGAAACTCCCCCCCTCCCCACCCCCTCACTTTCCTTTGTCTAAACAT